GGGGCCCCGCAGCCACGCGGAGCTGCTGACCCTCTCCCCTCGCAGCCTGGGGGGCAGCTGCAGGGCAGATGCCATCTGCTCTTCTCCTACAGCCCTGTCGGCCCCAGTGGATGGGAAAATTGCAGGTAAATATGAATTTACAGCCTGTTTCCTTGGGGAAATGAGACTGTGCGTTATCCTGTCTGCTCATCTGTTTCCCTTCCATTTATTCCACGGATCAGGGTGTGCTTCCCCGCCTCAGTTTCCCCACTTGAAAAATTGTAGTTCCCACTAGTGTTCTGAGATCTGTCAGTAAAAGTGCTGCGCGTGAGCTCCGGGCTCTACTTTTATTTATTATCACTGCTGGCACGTGCAACCCCGTTGCTGGCTGACCCCCACGGGTGCACAGGTGCCTTGGTGGGAGCTCTGTGACTTTATTCTCCACTGTGGTTAGTTAACCTACGCTATTCTCAGACTGTAGGTTACTGTGGGATTATGTGTATCAGCTCCTCTCCGACAGCCGCTATGAGCCTTACATCAAGTGGGAAGACAAGGAAGCCAAGGTCTTCCGGGTCGTTAACCCAAACGGACTTGCCCAGCTCTGGGGGAACCACAAGGTAAGTGCAGTTGAGAATAAATTTGTCATTCCTGCAATGCCCAAGAACCAGCTCGAACGTCCCACACGCGGTCCTCCTGCAGACAGACCCAAACTTGGTGTTGCTACTTGCTTTTACTCAACCCCCCCAATTCTTCTCTTCTTCCAGAACCGGATGAACATGACATACGAGAAGATGTCACGAGCGCTCAGACATTACTACAAACTCAACATTATTAAAAAGGAGCCGGGGCAGAAGCTGTTGTTCAGGTGAGATGAAGCAGATCAGAGAAACGAGCTGCCCGGGACGGTGCGGATGGGGCATGGGAAGGTGATGGGCTCCAGATGTTGGCCGCTGCTTCATCTTGCTGACTCCTTCATGGTCCAGACCAAGCTGAAGTTGCAGCGTGTTTGCTGTATGTGGGGGTAACGCATGGGGACGTGGGATGTCCTCTGGGTTTATGGTGCCCTAAGGTCCCAGCCTGGCCCGTGCTCCCATCACCCGGGCGTCCGCGGCGGCTGTGTGCGTTTCTGAGAGCTGTAATCGCCCTTCCCGTTGAGGTAAAAAAACCCTGGGCTGGTTTTAGTTTTGCAAAACCTCAGTGGTTGCTTTTTGGTTTGTTTCTTTTTATCCTTCCCTGCAAATGCAACACCCCGGTGGGTTTGCGTCCAGGCTCTGTCCTGGGCGAGCCGGGAGCTGGGACACCCGGGCTTCGGGTCCCATCCGACACGTTCTCCAGGGCTGTGGGCCAGCACCCTGCCCCAGGGCCAGCATCCATCCCCTCTTCTGTGTGGGGTCCAGCTGATGCCGGTGGAAATATCCCCGAGCCCACGCAAGCTGGACAGGTTCCTCCTGTTCCCCAGTGACACCAGGTCTGAAGTTCACCTCCAGACAGAAGAAGGGGGGGAAATAAGTCGGGGCTCTCCTGTTTTCAGTGCTGGCTGCTTCCCGGGGACTAGTTTGAACTTAAAATGCCAGCTCCAGGCTGAGTCCCGAGCTTTGTCTCCCCAAGCTCGGGGCGCGCTGGGTGCAGAGCAGGAGCCGGGATCCCCAGCAAAGCCCGGGGACGGCAGCAGCCTCTGGTGAGCTGCAGAGCTCAGCTGATGAGGGCAAGGGCTCCAGCACTTACAGCCTGGTTTGGGGCTGGGTTTGGCCCTTAAAGCCATTAAAAAACGTATTACAGGTTTTTGAAGACTCCTGGGGAGATCATCCATGAGAAATCCAGCAAACTGGAGCAGCTGGAGAGCGAGGACCATGAGGATTTGAAAGAAGACCCACTGGAGGTTTCACCATAGGAGGTCTTTGAAGTGAACTCGTGGTGCATCGCGGATGGATTTGTGCTCCTCTGGGAAGGGCTGGTGCCTCCTGCATCTCCTGGACAGAAGACCACAGAGGTGGCCCTGGATTCCAAAACCTGCTCTGAGCAAGGCTGTGATATCTCCGGGACTTCATTAGCAAAACACGCTCAGAAACTGTCCCCCAGCCCTGAAAATGCAAGTGAACTTGTGGGCTGGTCTTCTGCTCGCTTCTCTTCTGTTCTCTGGGGGGAACGTGATATTTTTGCTCCGTAAATTTTGATGCTTGCCCTTAAACTTTAAACTTGCCGGTAAAGACTGCTCCAGCCTTACGGCGAGATGAGCAGAGGGTACTGGAGTACACGCTTCTGGTCCAGCACCTCCTGAAGTGCTTTTTGCAGAGAGCAGTGGCCCGAAGCGTGAACACGCTGCTCTGAATCGGGGCCGTTTCCCCGAGTGGAGAACGGACTCGTGTTGCAGCTATGCTGCACGCCGTGAGCTCGCCGTCTCGGTGGGGTTGCTCCCGTGAGTAAGGCTGGGAGTGTCCCAAAATATCTGCCTGGATCAGGCCTGGCTGGAGCTCCAGGCTGCATGGATGCCTTAAGCTGGATCTCATTTTAACTCCTTTCCCTCCACCTAATGTGTTTTTTTTTTTTTTGTAATTAGCTGACTAAATAATGTGAAAATAAACAAAGCCAGTAATGAATATGACCACAGTCATCACCAGACACATGGTTATTTGCTTGGAGTCCGAAGCAGGCATACCTGCAACCCCAGGCACTGCTGGTGACCTGGAGGGAGCAACGTGCGTGTGTTTTAAATCTGAAAATATCCACTAATATTTTCAGATTGCTCTTCGTTGAGGCCATGAAATCCCGTGACTGTGTACGGTTGAAAATACCACTTCTTGCTGGTCGAAGGTCTGAAACTGGGAAATCTAAGCCTTCCTTATTTAAAACCAGCTCCTGTGGGCACCCAGGTCTTGTCCCTGAGGTCCCTGAGACCGGCAGCCTCTACCCTGGAGTGCGACGGTCCGAGCAGCTCAGCAGCCCACGGGTGAACGCAGTGCCCGCACGTGGCGTCTTGTAGCTACGTGGACAAGCACAGATACAGGTCGTGAAGCAGCAGCGTCTTTCATGGCTGGTAGGAAAAGGTGAGTTCCTTCCAGCCTCGGTTTTGCACCACTGCAGAAATTATCCCGCTGCCTCGTATCTTTGCTCCGGGCTCTTTCCCAAGCCCCAGCTGCTGTCTCAGAGCTGCGTTGCTTTTGGGGCAGCAGCGCTGCCAATTCCCATTCCCAACGCTACCCATTCCCAGAATGGGTCTGGGAACTGTCAGTCTTGTGAAAAACTCAGGTAAGGGTTGGTGACGGAGGTTTCCACCAAAACTGCTTGTTGCCAACCTGAAACCACAGTCCCTTTTGCTGTAACTGGTGTCGCTCCTCCAAAACTACTTTACACCCATTAAGTGGAACCTGGAGATGCTGATGGGCTGTAGCCAGCAAGGGACACTGGTGGGATACGCGGTGGCTGGTTGGCAAAACGTCAGCAGTACATTGTCTCCAGAAATGTTGGCAGAGAAGTTTCACTTCCAGAAAAAATCACCAGCTCGTTGGCAAAACGCGAGTGTTTGACGAGCCAAGTGATGGAGGAGGAGAAACCGAGAAGCTCCAGTGGGGTAAACAAGCATAGCGTCACAGCCTTTGGGAGGTCCTAGCTAGGAAGGGAGGCCAAAATCTCTGCTAGGAGAGGGGGCTGGAGGTTACTTGCGACCCAGCCAAGCTGCAGCTTGGGGAGGCACCATACCAGGAAGGTGCAGTGAAGCACCCAGACCTCATCCTTTGTTCCACAAAGGCTGCTTTTTGTCCCAGAGAAGACTAAAGCCAGACCTTTCTTGGGGTGAAATCCAGCAGAGAGTCAGTGTAAGTCCTACCTGCCCCTGAGGGACAGCTTTGGTGGGAAAGACGACTTTCTTTGGCAACTGTCCTGGCCCTGCGTCGCTCTTGGGATACAGAATCACTAGGTTGGAAGGGACCTTCAAGATCATCAAGTCCAACCATTAATCCATGGGTGCATTTTTGCTGACCTTCTCCTAACAAGACACCCCCCCCACACACTTTCTTGCCATGGAAAAAGGCCCCATGACTCCTGAGCATCCCGTCACTTCTCCAGCCTGCGTGGTTTGTTCTGTTGGAGCAGGTGACAGTCGGTGACCCCGGTGCTTGCGGGGAGCGCGTGAGATGCCCTCTCTTCACCTGTTTTTCCTGCGATGACTAAGGATCCTGTCGGATGGGGATGTCCTCTCCTGGTTGGGAAGCTGCCAAAAGCACTCAACCCTCCTTGTGCCGTGCCGCTGCGGCCCCAGAGGGACCTTGGAGGGTTGAAAAATCAAAGGGCACCTTTGCGAGGATGGGCTGCAACGATGAGCTCTTTCCGTGCTCCCAGGAAGCCCTTGTGTCCTTCCTGAGGCAACGTGTCTCTCTTCTCCGCGGTAAACAGAGGCGGGAGGGCTGTAAACCTGCCGCTTTCCCGGAACGGGGACCCATTCCTTTCAGTAAACAGCCGAGTAACCGCCGCTTGTGCCGGGGTGTCTGACGTGGGTGCGTGCGGAGGGAGAGCACCCAGCGGTCGGTGACTTTTGCCGTGGCTGAAGTCCAGGGGCGGTGGCACGCAGGCGGGTGCCCCGTGCGGGCTTTCCCGGAGGTTTGCTGGTGCTTCATTCCCTGGAGGCCATCATCCATGCTTCAGCAGCACCAGGTCTGGTGGTGGTTGGGGTGAGGTGCTGCAGGGCAGCAAACGCAAATGGCCGAGCGTGCCCGCTGCTGGCTTGTGCTGCTCATCCGCTGAGGGAAGCGGCTAAAATCAGCCCCAGGGCTGGAGGAAAAGAGGATTTGCTTTGGGGGCTAGTGCCCACCCCCCTCTTGGATCAGAGGCACTGCCCAGCTGGGCTGAGAGGCTTCCACCGAGGCCACGTGTTGGCTGTGCCGTCTGTCCAAACAGTGGCTGCCCTCAATGCAGACCTGAACGTCATGGTTCAGATCTGAAACTGCAGATATCGTTGTGCCCAGAGGCTCGAAGGAACCTTTGTGGCCCACTTAAAACACAACTGCCTCCAACACCCAGTCGGGTTGGCTGTGGCTTTGGTAGCCAAATCTTGAAGACTTCCAAGGACGGTGGTCTCCAACCTCCCTGGACACCCATTTGAGTTTGTCCCACCTTCCCACGGAGGAGGCTTCTCCTGAGGTCCAACCTCCGTCTGTGGCCTGTCTGTCTTGTTCCCAAGAAACCTGGGTGATTTGACTCCTGCCTTCTCCTGAGTTTGCAGCTCCATGTGGGAAACGCCTCTCCCTTGGTGTTTTTCCATCTTCTGGAGAAAGTTCCTGTAGATAAGCCAGTTATCCCTGCTGCGTGCCTGCGCTTCTAGTTCTGCTTTTCCCTCCAGCGTTGCTGGCCTGAAGATACCAACCTCAGCATTGTGCTGCGTGACCGCGTTTCCAGCCAGCTTCCTCATTCTCTCCCAATACTGATGAGAGAACCGGACGCGATTGGTTCTGGATCTCTTCCCCCGACTCTGGTAATGGGCTTTTGGTTTGTCTTGGGTCTCTTGCAAACATCTTTTCCTTATGCCTCTCTCCCATTAGGTTTGAGCATGTCCCAAATCCCAGAAGGGATCTGAACTTGGATAAAGGTCTGCATCCAGAACCACAATTCAGGTTAAGATTTTCCCTGCAACCACCTTGGGCGTCCTTTCTTCAGGTTGTGTCCAGAAATGCTGCTACAAAGAGGAAAAGCCTGCAAGAGGCCATAAGTCAACGCAGATTCCCAGTTTAACCAGGAGAAGTCCTCCGTGAGCAGGGATGGAGTTTGGACTCAGCCTTGGGTGACCTCCAGTAGCAGTATCTCTAAACTGGAGATGGCTAAACTGTGCCCCATTGCCAGAGTGGATGTGGCTTTTCATTTTATGGATGTTGCAGAGAGAAAAACAAAACAAAATTGACTGTGAAACTCCTTCTCACCCACTGGAATCGACCCACTTATGAAATGATGTGGTCATATGCTAGTTAGCGGCATGGAGCTCCTCATGGGTGGTTTAATTATTTATCAGAGTAGATGGGGATGCGGAAAAACAAAGCCAGGTAATTCCTAATCAATACTGGACTCTGATTCATCGGTGTAGGCTCAGGAGAAACGGGGAAATGGATTGTATCTCTCTCCCAATTATAGGAAATTATGGCACAGAAAGTTTGTAGAAACAGAAAGAAAATAACCCTGGACTGTTTTGATTGCAAGCTGAGCCCATTATCAGGAAAAAAACGTTTTTATCCAGGAGGGACCCGGGCAGCACATCATCCCGGCTGAAAACTAGAGCAAACGCAGCGCTGCTCAGGTGAAAATCTTGCCGCGGGGTTTTCCGAAGCCGCCGCCCGGCAAATGCATCCGCATCCAGCACCGTCCCCGCCAGCTGCAGTGCGAAATATTGCCATCAGATGGCAAAACAGCGATGGGGACGGCGGGCAGCAGCCTGCGGGAGGGGGCAGCGGGCACAGGGGCGCCCGGGGG